GCACTAACATCCGTGACCTGGCTGTGATGCTGTACTGTGATACAAGGTGGTACCCTCACTGCAGAGCGCTAGGATGAAGGGAGACGGCTCACTCTCTATCTTTACAGCTGCAGGTCTCCAATTGTCTCCAAATAACGAAGGACAAAAGGAAAAAGACCTAAGATGGAATCATGCTTAGACAACTAGGAATTCTTCCTCTTTTGTTTGGAGGAAACTTTTCTTGCTACTTTGTTACTTTCCCTGCCCACTCAAGACCTGGGCAGTATACTTGCTCTCCTGGCCTTGAGCCCTGAGGGTCCAACCTGGGAGCCTTGGCAAAGGAAAGTCCATTATGAAGTTGGGGGTCAGCTTTGAGGAACAAAACCACTCCCCTACCGCTTGTTCAATGCCTGCTCTCGTTTACAGAGGTGAAACAAGACCCTGACTCCCTACTTGCCTAGAGAACCAATCCTCTAAGCCAAGCCCATGGTGGACCAGAGTGCTCAAAGGATTAGACTAATGACTTCCACTCTGGCACGGACTGCCAAAAGAGCCAGCCAATCTGTCTGGGGCCAAGTACCGCCCGAATGCTCCTTGCAGCTGAGGAGTGAGCCTTTCCCCGCATGTACTCTGGATGTGGGCAGGAGGGGGCAGTTTCTGGAGAAGGGCACTGTGGTCAAGTGAAGGGGCAGCGGAAAGGAGGAAGGCCCTCCTCCCCAAGATAGACGGACCCAGCAGGGGCAGAAGCACAAGAAACACTGTAAGGACGGTGCAGAACTGAGTCACTTTGAGTCTGAGTGACTCAATGGTCCCTAGCAACAACGGCAAATCACCAGACACGACCACGGGAGTCAGTTCCACGGAAATCACCCACATCTGCCAGCAGGCCCAGCCACCCGAGGACGCTGGCTTAGAGGCTCTCTGATAGTTCTGTCATACGAAAATTAAAAAGCCTAAGACGAACCAGGTAAGGTTAACACTGCAAGTATACCTTCATGTAACCTAAAAAGCAGTGTGGCAGCTAATAAGAATGTATTCTTCTCTGTGCACTGGTCTTCACAATCCAAGGAGGCGGCAATCTTAAGGTGAATCCATTTCCAGTGTGCAGGACCCACCAGTGGCGTCTCTACCAGAGAGCATAGCTAGACCTTTATGTCCCTTGTTTGCGACATGATTCTGGCTCCCAAAAGTTACACACACACACACACACACACACACACACACACACACACACAATGTGGGAGGGGCAGGTCTAAATTTACTTAGCTGAAAACCACTCTGGGGAAAGGCTTAAAGTCAGGTTCAACGAACCTCAAGCATCTTCTGGGCTTCTCCCCTTTGTCAGTTTAGTTGAAACTCTTATCAAGCGAGGCCCCTGTGGTGCAATTGGGATCCAGTAGGATGGGCATCATGCCTTTCCCTAGGGAGCTTGTGATCTAACACGGGGTCAGACAACTGCCTGTACTCGCACACACTAAAAAGAACGTTATTTATTCAAACAGATGAATTCAGTGTACCAGGTAACAAGATCCACATTTAAGGAACCTACCAAAATGACAAGTTGGAATTCTGCATGACTGACAGTCATTCCTACCCTATTCTTACCCTTATTTCCAACTGCACTGATTGTGGAATGAGCACCACACTTAATGTACACAATCAGTAGAAGCAAAGGACATTAACCAGAACAGGCACGTGTAGTAAGTCGACAGGTGCCAATTATTTTGATTAGAATAATCAGTTATTAAGCTGCTAAGATCAGTTATCATTAAGTTTTGTATATGCTAATTCCCTAGAGTATAAAGAGATTACAGTTGGATAAAAAGTGCAAACATTTTCAATCGTCAGCTCTCCACAGATAAATGTGCTTGGAACACATCTTCAGAAACACAATTGGTACACAGGACAACACAAAGATGTTTCTGGGACAAGCACCCAAATGCTATGCGGCCCAGACAAGAATGTGCTCTCTTACAAGAACAAAGACGCATGCCTACGGATTGCTGTCTACCCCAAGCCACTGCTGAGGAAACGATTCTGTGGGTGAAGGCGCCCCTGGCTAAGGAGAACCTCTTTACGACCTCACAGTTCTGTTTCACTAGTTCAAGCCAATCATAAAGACTTCTTTGTAGACGATGCATTTTGCAATCAATTATCAAAAGCTTCATTGAAGGTCTTAATGGACACTGTTGAGTAAGGAGCACTACACATAGTCCAAAAGAGAAGAGGACCTATTTATCTATGCAGCATTTCAGAGGTCTTTGGGAATGAAGCTAAAATTGAGCCTGACCAGGAAAAATAAAGCCATGGACTCCAAAAATTGTAATTTTACTCTTCAATTTGATAAGGTCACATCTAGTTAAACCTATCCCTCACCCAGTCCCACCAGAAGACAAAAACAAATCTCCCCAATAAGTCAATACCTAAAATTTATCTTGACACATTAACTTTCAGACAAACTCCTTACGTTCTATAATTTAATCCTATGCATTAAATGCTCAGTTATCAGATAAATCTACTGGAATGGAGTTAATACTGTAAAATTAAGCCTCTGGTTCCACTATTATACTTTACAGGCATAACCATTAACTGTACATAATAATTTAGATTATGATCTTTAAAGCTCTCGATCTGTCATCTCAGGTAACGGGCGCTTACTTTGGAACTGGCTGACTAAACAGGATCTGTCCTTCCACTAAATAAAACTAACTCACCCACTATTCCTGGTTAAGAGAGAAGAAACTACATCCACGCATTAAGCCACCACTCAGAGACAGATGCAGAGTCTGCAGAGAAGAAACACAATCTGCTTTAGACACAGACACCATCGGGCCCTGCCACCTCACTTAGTAAGCAACCATGCTGCTGGTGCTTGTGCACTTGAGCACGTTCCTGGGTGGGGAGAATCTCGGCAAGGGCCAAGAACTTCTAAGACTGAAATGAGTGTAGGAAGAGCTGTATTAGCAACAATTAAAGTAACAGTAATAAAGAGGCCTCCCGTGCCTTTTCTTGAAGGGCCCCCCAAAAGGTCTCCCAGCATTCAGCAGGAGACAGGCCGCAGGATGTGCAGCTACTGCCACTGGATATTTACAGATGCTGGTGGTGCAGTGGTTAAGTGCTGGGCTGCTAGCTGTAAGGTCGGCAGTTCCACCAGTCGTTCTGCAGGAGAAAGACAAGACTTTCTACGTGGAAGCCCACTGGGGCAGTTCCTAGCCTGTCCTGTAGGGTTGCTCTGAGTGTGCATCACTCGATGGCAGAGACTTTCCACTGTGACCCAGCATTGTGACACCATCTCTAGTTTGATGGCTTTGTTTCAGGTATGCTTCAGCACGCTAATGTGGGCTAAGTTCTAACAGAATGGGCACTGTGCTTCTTCGGCAATACTGCTACCTGGCTAGCGGTTCAGGGAGGGCTAATTGACAGAGCTGGCAGATGAGATCTGGGTATTCACTCACCCCATCACAGACTCTACCCATCTGTGGGGACCAACCTGCACACACAGAGTGTCGCAATGGGCGGCCTGAGCAGATCAAGCCTAGAGATGTTTAAGTGTTTTTATCTTACTTGTAAAATGTTTTTGAAATTCCAGAAGAGTTGCCAGCATTCAAACTGCACAGTATCCGGCCTCAAAATCAGCATGTCCACTTTCCCCACTAGCTCAGTTCCCTCTCTGCACTTCTGGCTCTCCTGGGCCACCTAGGCTGCCATTACTCCTTTAGATCCTGAAACTGCCTTTAATCCCTGGAAATAAAACTTACAACCTAATCTCATTTATATCGCATCTCCACCTTTTGAGCAAAAGATGATTTCAAAGAAATACTGGAATAGAAACCAGACCATTTTCAAGGTTCTATGTCAGTGGCACAGTGGTTGAAGCGCTCAACCCTTGATTGACCGGGCGCAAGTTCAAACCAGCTACTCCTGAGATGAGTGATGAGGCGGTCTGCTTCCATAAAGATTACAGCCTCGGAAACCCCAGTGGTCCAGTTCTACTCTGTCCTACAGGCTGGCTGTGAGTCAGAACTGATGGCGACAGGTTAGTGTGGGTATTGCCAATATGAACTAGTTCACTGGATTACAAAGCCTGTTTAAAAAATGTCTTTCATCACACTTTTGGCTAGGTGTTATCTTCTGTAACTGCTCAGGTCCTTTTCATGCGGAATGTCACTACGAAGTCATCTTAGTGGTTAAAGTAAACACACCATCTTTCAGTGTGGAGAAGGCCTAGGTGTGGACGTTCTCTAGGTCCGACACCAGCTGCCAAAGTCAGGCTCCAAAGAGACCCAAGTGATGCCCCTGAGATACATGCAAGGGAAAGTCAGTTCCGGGGCTGGGCTGGCTCCCAGGACTGGACCCCTGGTGATGACAATGCTAAGGCAACCAGCAAACAAAAAAAGATCTCAGGATGATGGTGAAATGGACCTTTCAGAACAGACAGATGGAGGTGGTGCTTTCTGCCTCTTCCTGACCTTCAGAGCTCTCAAGGAATGACCCAGAGACAGGGAAGCAGTGAAGTAGCAAGCACAGTGGAAATACCACTTTTGATGAGATCTTCAACCATTATCTAACCATTGTGACATCAATCTTTAGCCAGAGAACAGCTAGAGTCCCTGGGAGTTTGCCCAGCCTGTGTCTACAAAGCCGATGGCCACCAACCCCATGACATCAGAGATGGCATCAACAACGGTGTAGTAGAATGCCCTGTGAAGAGGTAAGGACTGCAAAGAAAGGTATTTCAAGAAAGGATCATTTGGTAAAGAAAAGCAAAAAACAAGCCATATACTTTAGCTGAACAAAGGGCAGCAGGCACACTAACTTTATGGCCCAGAAGGCTGAAGCTCAGTAATGCAGTGATCTCAACAGTTTGTTTGTTTTGCGATCTTAACACACCCTCCATCCCCATCAAAATATGGAAGGATGGTGGAAGCACGGTCTATACATGGGCTTTGAATCCGACATGCGGCTTGTAAACATATTGGAACCACCACCGTCAATGACCACCTTACCCAGAAACTGCTTACCCATTGCACTGAGATAATGGTTGAAGGCCTGGCAAGGAGGACTTGGGGTTTGTGTTGATTTGTCACAACTCATGGGTGCCGGGCTCCTGTCTGTGTCAAAAGAGAAATACCCGCTGGAGGATCGAGACAGCAGAGAGGATCTTCTCACGAAGATGAAAAGCGGGGATCTGGTAGCGAAAGGGCCTGGGCTGGCTGGTGGGGCCAGTGGGCCCTGAGGGCTGCCCTGCGAGCAGCGGTCCCCGTCACCTTCTGGATTACCTTGAGGTTCTGTCTGCAGAGAGGTAGGGGCCCCAGGTCTGAGCTGGGGAGCCTGGGGGGGCCTCTCTGCAGGCTGCAATTGTCCACCTTCTCTGTCGCACTCAGAACTTACATCTGAAGGTTGCTTTGCCATTTGGTCTTTTTTTCTGCAGTTAAAAAAAAAAGTAAAAAGTAAAATTAATTAAAGCAGTATAATAATTACACTATGTAGATAAACTAGTTTTTGCCTAGTCGTTAGAAATTCAGAGTGTGAATTTCTCAAATGCTTTAACATGAAGTCATTATTCCGTACATTTCTCTGGCAATCTCCAAGTGACAGTAAAAAAACAAAACAAAAAACACCCCAAAATAAAAAAATAACAAAATCGTATTTGATTTTGGGGGTGGGGCTAAACTTCCCATTGCCAAACAAAACATAGTAACACCATGTGGAACTGGTGTGAGCACACACACACACACACACACGTTTTATGAAAAGCAGCTTGTCTGAAGTCTGTTCCTATGTACTCTTAGCTCAGGTCAGACTTGGATAAATCAGAAGCTCCCAGCGGGCTCTGATTTCCTGGGATCCGATACTGCGCTAGAGCACAGGAGCGGGCACAGATGCAGCGATTGCAGGCTGCTGGCCGCCTTCCCTGCTCGGCCCCATTGTTCTGCCTAAAGTGCTGAGGGCAGCAAGTCTGGGGAAGGTTTGGCAGCGGCCGTCAGTCGTAGTAAGTGCGTCACAATAGAGTTTGTAACTCGGAGCGCTGCTCTGCAGCCTCTCCAGCTCACTGCCCAGCGGTCTTCGCCACTCGGGCCAGCGTTCCCCTCCTTCCACCGGGAAGGGGCACCGTGCTAAAGGGGAGAGAACTTTCCCAAAGCACACTTAGACTGTGAGGTGGACACCCCCAAATGTGGGACCCCAAAACCTGTGCCGCGGCGCACCCTGCAAAGTCCATAAACTAACTCTGTGCGCTAACCAACCCGGGCTCGCACGCCGCCTTCAACACGACCACTCTCCCTCGGTTAACAATCACATAGAAACTCACATCTGTCCCTGCCCTTCCAAGCGTAGGGTCCGGTCTGGGGGTCCACCGCGTCCAACCCTGGCCCTTCGCCGACTGCGCGCCCGGCAGCCGTCACCACGATGGCAGCGCAGGTAACAAAGCCTGGAACTCCCGGCCCGAGCCCCCAAGGCCCCGATGAGCCCGCGCCTTCCCACCCGCCCGCCGCCGCCGTGCTCCGCTGGGTAAACGAAGGCTCCGCGCGCCGCGCCTCTGGCCCGCGCTGCCCCGGCCGCCGCCGCCGGGAACATCCTCCGCCTCCTCCCGCTCCTCCCCTCGCGCACTGCGCCCGCCGCCGCCGGCACCACGACCTCCCCGCGCCCCTGGCGCCGGGTGCCCGAGCTCCCTATTGGCTCGCGCGCGGTCGCTCCGTGGAGCAGCCAATCAGCAGAGGCGGGGGGGCGGCGCCTTCGGGTCAGGCCGCCAAAGGCTGGGCGATTGTTGACAAACTCTTCTCGGAGCGCAGCGTGGCGGCAGCGGGAGCCGGGCAGAGGGGCTCGAGAGCCTTGGCTGTCTGGGCTGTCGCATCTGTCTCTTCCAGACATCCCGGGTCCATGTGAGGCTCTCCCTTAGGCCAAGGTCAACACGGGGAAACAAGCTGGACCCGCGCTCTCCTTTGACGGCAGCGCTGTCCTCAGTCCCCTGCCTTTTCCCTCTGGCCACCGCCCAAGCCGGCTGAAGTGACGGCGCCAAGGGCTGCCCCAATGCAACCCAGGTGCAGAAGCGTCCTCCGCCGGGTAAACTCACGCCCCATGCGCCGCCGCCGACACCGGGCAAATCTGAGCGGCCGATGCCGGTCACCGGCGCGCATATTTGCCAGCCCGGTAACCACGGCCGAAACCTCAACACTTCCCTACCCCAATGATCGTTCCGCCACCAACACCGGCTCGGAGATAAAAGGGTCCTGAGGATCCGCCGCAGCCTGCTCTGCGGATGGACTCGGGTGTTATACCGCCTGGCTCCAAAGACAGAACCGGTTCTACTGGACGCACTGCGCCCACAGCGTGGCCGGGGCGCCCCGTGTCAGTGCCTGTGGCCGTGTGGCTGGCACGGTCCACCGGGCGCCCGCCTATCGAGCAAAGCCCGATTGCAGGTCCAAGAGGGTGAGCGCAGCAGCTGCCCGGAAACCGCGGCCCAAGCGAGTACCAGGAAAAGCCCAGTCTCATCAGTTAAATCACCACCCAAGTTCCGCAAACTCTCCGCCAGAGGCCCGCGCACCCAAGAAAATCCAGACGCAAGATTGGCTGGTACCGCCCGCCCGCTATTCCGGGGTCGGGCAGCCGGCGCGGTTTCCCGGGCCGGAGCGCTGTCCGGTACCGCAAGCGGGCACCCGGCTCCCGGGCCCTGCGGAGCACGCGCTGCCTCTCCCAGTGGGACTTGCGGCGCTTCACTACCCAGAGCGCAGCTGCCTAGCGTGGGACGTCCACCGGCCAAGTGTCCGCGGCGGCGAGGGCGCCCCCTCCCCAAAGATGGTAACCCGCCCGGGATGGCGCGCGGCCCTGCCCGCACCGCGGGCTGCCTCCCCATCGGCGACGAATGGGGCGAGTCCGTTCGTCCTTCTGCTTGCACGTGTGACGGTAGCGAGCGGGAACGGACCCCTACCGGCTCCGGCTCCTGTCCTCTATCCTCCCCCAGTCCACTCCCCGGGATGCGGAGGACTTTACCTTACGTTTCTCAGTCCGAGAGTCAGAGTCAGACATTGGGGGGACCAGGGCCAGGGGAAGGGCGCCGAGGGAGTGGAGGGTGCAGTACGACTCGAGCAGCCCGAAGTGGTGCTGGCGGCAGCAGGGCAAGGCGCGCAGACTAGCTGCAAGAAACTGCTGGTGGTGGCAGTGGTGACGACTAGGGAGGGAACCCTCCCACTAGCAAGAAACCTTGTGGCTGCGCGGGACGAAGTGAAACCTGTACGGCCCTGCAGCACAGCTCAGGCTGGCTGCCCCGAGTCGACGTCCAAT